GGTTGCGATCCTGTTGCCGGTCCTGGTCTGGTACGGGCGCAACACTGAGGGTTGCGATCCGCAGCCGTTATTGAGAAATACCAGAGTGAAGGAGAAATGGGTTAATATTCCACTTGTAGAATAAATTGTCAAAAAGGAGAAGAAAATTTTCAAAAATATCTAAGTTCCTTTGGAGCAGGAAATTACTTTTAAGGATTGTGGTAGAACAATAGAAGAGTCACCATTCCCAGAATTAACTAAAGAGCTGATTGCAAATTGAAAATTCTCATCTTGAAGGTTACAAAATTTAATAATCTTGTATTACTTTAAAGTGTTTTTGAAAGTGAAGTCAAATGTAAAACATAGTGTGGGATTCAGAGGGAATGGTAGAATAAGGACCTCCAGAAATCTTCTTTTCCATAAAAGCAATGAGAGCCAAAAATTGTCCAAACCAACTTTTTTACAACTCTGAAATTAATGAAAGGCTTGCAGCAATTCAAGGAGCATCTATTTTTCTTATAATGAAAGGCTTGCAACAATTCAAGGAGCATCTATTTTTTTTTTTTTAAATGGGTAAATCTTGTTAAGAACAGCATGTTTTGTGGTGGTTTAACTTATCCTATTTTATTCCCCTCTTCTCGGCTGCTGTACCTAGAAAACCTACAGCTTTACAATCATAGTAGTCATGAAAACAGCAGCCTAGCAACCACTGAAAGGGGCAGAGTGGGTACAGAACTCCCCCAAAAGTCCCATTCCTGGAGAACTGCCATTATCTCACCTGTCTGGAATTCCCTGAAAACCTTCATTCACACAGCTTGTCTATATTTGACCTAATGTGGAGCTAGCTCAAAAAATCAGCAGCAATTCCTTAACATCACAGCATCCTGAGGTGGTGATAACACCTGGAGCATACAAGAAGCAGACCAAAAACTTAAAAGGGAAAGCTGGAGAATAAGATGTCCGCAGGAGGCTCTGATATCTCTGATATATTCCTGTCAATCTAGAATTCCACACACATGTGTAGGGCTGTGTACGTTCCCTGAAAAGACTGTAGAAGGTCCTAATCACTCACTACTGGTGAACCCTGTGGCCCTGNTGTGTAGGGCTGTGTACGTTCCCTGAAAAGACTGTAGAAGGTCCTAATCACTCACTACTGGTGAACCCTGTGGCCCTGTCCAAGCAGGAAGTGATGACTGAAGCAGAGAAGTAAATTGCTGGAATGTTGAAGAAATGTCTCGACACACACACACAGAATCTTTCAGCAAAGGCTGAGAGACTTCCTGGTTTCAGTCATTTAAGGATCTCTGTCTAATCATTAGTTAACCACTACTCAAACCAAACAGAGACTTCAGTGACCACACATGATAAGGAATAGAGGAAACTAAAACTAAACAGAAGAAACAACAGCAACAAACATCAAAAACAAAGATAGCCAGCAAACCACCAGAAACTAAGAGAGAGGCCCAAACAGATCCTTCCCTAGCATCTTAAGAAGGAACTAATCCTGCTGACACCTTGGTCTTGCCCTTCTAGCCTGCAGAAGTGTGAGACAACAAATTTCTGTAGTTTAAGGCATCCAGTTTGTGGTACTATGTTACAGCAGCTAATTAAGAAACTTAATACATGCAGCCAATTTTTTTTTTTTTTTTTTTGTCTTTTTTGTGACTGGTAAGGGGATCGCAAACCTTGGTGTGGTGTCACCTGCACTGCACTCAGCCAGTGAGTGCACCGGTCATTCCTATATAGGATCTGAACCCACGGCGGGAGTGTCGCTGCA